AGTGCAGGACATGCAACAATGGGCTCAAGTGACAGGACGCCAGATTTCGGTTGAATACCAGAAAAAACTTCCTGTTAGAGCAGTACAACAGTGGAACCCGTTACCTCAGGAAGTGGGGAGGGATCCAACACAGGAGGCATTCAAGAAAAACCTTGACAATCACCTGGTAGATACACTACTGAGGAAGAGCAGAGGACAAGGTTGCTCCAGAGCTAGTGAGGTGGTTGGGCCACATGAAACCATGGCCTTAGAAGTTCCTTCTAGCTTCATCTTTCTATGCATCTATAAAACTTTCCCAAAGTCAGTTTTGGTTTCCTCGCAGTGTGCTTAGAGGGAGAGGATTTTCACTACGTCTCCTTCCACTGTGACAACTTTAGCAAATTGCTGCCTATATATTTCAAGACACAGCCTCTAGTTTGAAACTTCTAAACAGGTCTGGGACTTTGTGGGGGGGGGAGGTCACTCAGTCCCAGGGAAGGCAAAAAGAAGGGAAGTCAACGGGAGTATATTCAATGGCACGCAAGATCTTTTTTTTTCCCTGGAGTTGGAGATGCTGACAAAAGCTGTGACAAAAGCCTATCTTCCTTCCTTCCTCCCTCCCTTCTCTGTCTATCCTCCCTCCCTCCTTTCCTCTCCCATCCTCCCTCCCTTGTCCGTCTATCCTCCTTCCTCCTTCCCTCTTTCCTTCTTCCAAGTTCCCTTCTTCCTTCTCCTTGTCCGTCCTTCCTCCCCATCCTGCCTCCGTTCTTACTCCCTGTCTACCCTTCCTTTCTTCCTTCCTCCCTCCCATCCTGCACCCTCCCTCTTCTCCTTGTCTATCCTCCCTCCCTTCCTTCTCCATGTCGATCTATCCTTCCTTCCATCCTTCCTTCTCCCTTTCTATCCTCTCTCCCTCCCTTCTCACTATCTATCCTTCCTTCTTTCCTCCCTCTTTCCTTTCTTCTTTCCACCCTCCCATCCTGCCTCCCTTCCTTCGCCCTGTCTATCCTTCCTGCCTTGCTTCCTTCATTCCTCCCTCCCTTCCTTCTTTCCTCCCTCACTTCTTTCTCCCTGTCTATCCATCCTCCCTCCCTTCTCCCTGTCTATCCTCCCTCCCTCCCCGTCTTCTGTCTATCCTCCCTCCCTCCTTCTCTCCCTCCCCCTCCCTGTCTATCCTTCCTCTCCCTCCCTCCCTTTTCCCTCTTTCCTCCCTCCTTCCTTCCCTCTCTTCTCCCTGTCTATCTTTTCATACTTCCTCCCTCTCCCCTCCCTTCCTCTCTCCCTCCCTCCCTTTCTTTTCCCTGTCTACTTTTCCCTTCTCCCTTCCTTATCAGTTCCTTCCTTCCTCCCTCCCTTTCCTTCCCCCTCCCTCCCTCCCCTTCCTCCCCCCTTCCTTCCCTCCCTCCTCCCCTCCCTTCCTTCCT